CCGTTGGACCGGTCAAAATCGGTTGATCCGTTCGTGAGATATTGGAAACGAAAAATTTCAAAAAAAATATTTTTTGAAAAAATCTCTTAAATGGCTTCACCGATCAATTTCATAAACTAATCAGCTCTTAACCTTGAAAAACCACGTCGATCGCCGTTGGACCGGTCAAAATCGGTTGATCCGTTCGTGAGATATTGGAAACGAAAAATTTCAAAAAAAATATTTTTTGAAAAAATCTCTTAAATGGCTTCACCGATCAATTTCATAAACTAATCAGCTCTTAACCTTGAAAAACCACGTCGATCGCCGTTGGACCGGTCAAAATCGGTTGATCCGTTCGTGAGATATTGGAAACGAAAAATTTCAAAAAAAATATTTTTTGAAAAAATCTCTTAAATGGCTTCACCGATCAATTTCATAAACTAATCAGCTCTTAACCTTGAAAAACCACGTCGATCGCCGTTGGACCGGTCAAAATCGGTTGACTCGTTTGTGAGATATCGAAAACGAAAAATTTCAAAAAAAATATTTTTTCAAAAAATCTCTTAAATGGCTTCACCGATCACTTCCAAAAACTAATCAGCTCTTAAGCTTAAAAAACCACGCCGATTGCCACCAGTCCCATCAAAATCGGTTAATTCGTTCGAGAGTTATCGAAAACGAAAAATTTCGAAAAAAGTGTTTTTTTCACATAACTTCGACATTTCTTTTCGGATCGTTTTTGACGAAATAAAATAATTATTAGAGCCTAAAAAATCACGTCGATCGCCACCAAGAACGTGAAAATTGGTTGTTTGGTTCGTGAGTTATCATAGTCGAAAAAATTCGGAAAAAGTGAATTTTCAAATTTCTCTAAGATTTTCGGTTCGATCATTTTGTGTTTAAAAGTTTATCATAGATTCTGAAAAAGTGCGTGGAATACTGCCAACCGCGTGAAAATCGATTTATTCATTTAGAAATTATTGCAGTTTGAAAATTCAAAAAATACTGTCTTATTAAACTTCTATCAGCCTTTTGAGCTCGAAGAGCTCAAAACCGTACAAAAGCTATTTCTTTGAGCTCGGAGAGCTCAAAATAACACACAAATTGTATTTTTGAGTTTGAAGAGTTCAGAAACGTCGTAAATGCAATTTCAAGCGTTTAGGTATGGAATTGGCGGGAAGTTGCAGGGATAGCCTTTAGGGTCAACCGTTTTCCAGATTTTTTTTTTCGCTTTCAACTTCACTAAAGGCATTTATCAGAATTTTTTCGAATTATTTTACCCAATCAAAAAAAGATTCGAATTTTTTTAAAGAAAGCCATTTTTATTTTCGAATATCCGTAAATTTGTCAATAATTAACTTATAAGGATTTTTTTTTTTTAATTTTAGGTTTCAGGTGTAATTTTTGAAAAAATACAAATCCATCTTTAACGATTTCTCCGAGAATTTTTGAATAAAACGGAAATTTTGAGATAATTTGTCGTTTCTAATCATTTCTTTTTCTTTATTTATGTAAAACTCAGAAATTTTCCGCAAATTATCTAAAGCTATTAGAGAGGGATTAACGAAAAAAAATCAAATTATACTATTTTGTACAGTTGCAGTATTACAGTCGTATTACAATTATAAATTGAGTTTGCTGTGCTTTAACAGTAATGAGTGTTATAGAACACAGAACTAATTCTTCTTAACACAGGACTGATTCTGCTCAGCACAATAATAATTTCCCAGTTTTTTTTTTTTTAGACATAAAATTAACTAATATAGCGCACGACAGGAACTAGTGGTATTTTTCTATTGTATGTAAATAAAAAAAGTTCAATTATTATTCTGCCACTTTCCTTGTTTCACGAGACAAAATTTAAAATAGACCAATAAATCTTTTATATTAATAACATGTTTTTTAGTGTAGAAAACATCATTTTCTAAAAATATAATCAAAACTATATGAAATGGTAATCTATTATTTAATTGAGATAGGATCCCGATTGAAAACAACGTAAATACTGTAGCAATAATTTCTTTAAATTAAATAAAATCTTTATTGACATCTATGTTATTTTCAAAATATTTAAACATCAATCTGCAATATCTTTTGAAAGAACTAACTAATTTTCATTAAGTTGGCAATATTCGCAGTTTTTTTTAAATGTTTTTAATTTTATGAAACAAAAATGTAAAAGAAAATTATTTTTCTTAAATATTTATCTGATTAACAAATTCGGAAATATTTAATCGATTAACTCTAAAATTTAATCGGACATGTCTCAATATGATTTCGATTGCTGCAAATCGGATCAAAAACAACCGCAACAAAAAAGACAATTCAAGTATTCTTTTTAATCCTCGGTAATTATTAAAACAGAAATATACTTAATGTATATCAATATAAGTATGACAGGATCAAAAATTGAAGTACAATAATAACATTTATTTATACCTTTAAGTCCCAAACTACTAGTTGACCATCTAAACCACTAGTACTAAACTGGCTCGAAGAAACTCTACGGACACATGTTATTGTATTTTGATGGATGCTGTCAAGTGCACTGTCATTGGTTTCTGTTCTAGCTTGTCGGTCGAGTGATTGAAATTTCCTCATAGCGGATATACCAGCGGCTTCTTTTTTCTGTGAATTGTCTAATTTCGACACAAAGTATAGCTGGCCATTTAAGTCGAATGAGTAAAGCATCGGCATGCAGCTGTGCCCCTGTACATTTGGTAATATAAATATTTGTAAAGAAATTTGAGTATTTTTCTCTTGGAATTTATTTTAAATACTTACTGCTGCAACAATCAAATTGGGTCCAATCCAAACACAACTTAAAAAGGGTAAATGCTCAGTGTAAAGTCTCATAACAGCATTGCCTTTGGTTGCATCAGCAACACAAATAGATGAATTATGAGCAACCCAGCAAAGTTTATTGCCTGTTGGGCTAAATGCAACTGAATGAACCCAACCACCACCATTTGTTGAATTGGGAAATTCAGCAAGTAAAGTACCCAATGGTGATTCAGCTCCCCATGGCCCAGAACTCGGTGCATCTTCCATTTCCTTAATATAAGCACCAAATACTCGCACTTTAAAGTCAGTTGAGCCTGACGCAATTACTTTATTATCTGGGTGCCAATCAATTGCTGTTACAGTTGATCGAATCGGTCGTTTTATATGCTTTGAAAGCCACCAATTATTACCCGAAACAAAATAACTGACAGCTATCATTCTGTCTCCTGAACCAACCGCAAATTTATTCTCTGAAATATGTAATATCTTATGTCATATACTGTTGAGAAAATTAAAGACCAATTATAGAAATCAAATCTTAACGCATGTATGATTTATGTTTTATTTCATTTTTTAGTAACGAATTATAAGCATAAAACAAGATTAGATAACCTCGAAAAAAAAAAAATAATAATGGAGTTTATAAAATTGTATGGCAAATTGATTTGGCGAGTTTTTGTTATCTTCTTTCAATTTTTCTTCTCATGAATAAATTAATATTTAAAAAGCTATTAAATATTATCGTGCTTATTAAATTCGAAAAATAATGATCAAATTACTTAATCAAATTCTTTATAAAATGCAATCAATTTTTTGTTGCAAGTCATCAAAATTGTTAAAAAAACTAACTCTAAAAAAATTTTCTTTTGCCTATTTTTTATGTCTTAAAAATGTTCCATAAAATATTGATGTCGACATCAAGTGATCGATCACTCCGGCTCTAAAATCCGGATAAACTCAAGTAAAACTCACATCAAAGAACATTCATTAGCCGAAATCCGTTAATTACTTCTTTTGAATTTAACTTCTTCTTACAGTATAGAATTGTTAACAATTTTCAATGGACTTGAAACAAAGTCAAATAAATAACAATATTATTAAGTCAATAATTAGAGGTAATTTTCAAGTAACATCACTAGTAATAGTAAAAGTTAAAAAATACCTAATGGAGACCATTTTACGCAAACGGCTGCACGGTTCATTCTCAAAATAACCCATGCTGGTATCCATTTTCCACTTTCATCTTGATTCCAAACATAAGCATCTTTGTCAGCTCCACATGTTACTATTCGATTAGTTTTAGGAGCCCAATCAAGGCACATAACATTCATGTGGTGAGCCTCCAATATTTGAGTTGATTTCCAACCTGAGTTCGATTGTTTATAAACATGGACTTCATTGCTATTTGGGCATACTGCTACTTCTGTTAATGAATTATATTAACGATTTTTAATAAAAAAAATACAACTAAAATCTATGTTAGCATGAAAAGGATAAAAAATGTATTAACCTGTTTGATCTTTACTCCAAGCGTGACAAGTAATAATGTCTAATCCCAAGTTATGAACATCCGTCATTTCTCAGCTGAATATTTACTACAAATATTTATATTTTTATCATAAAATTATATTAACGGTATGTCAATCAATGAATCAATTGTACTCACAAATCATAAACAAATAAATATAAGGGCGTGGTCAACAAAAGTTAACTTCTTTTTTATAACAATATTAAGAATTATATTTTAAAAATATATGTTCTGAAAATACTGAAAATTCGTGGACTATGGTCAGTCTACACGAATTTTCGAAATATTTATAATTTACAGTTAATTATAGCCTCCCATGAATAGGAGGTTTTTGAAACACTCTATGGTAATAAACAGAGGCAGATTAGTTTTTTTTACTATACTAATATACTAAATGTTAAAACTTGTAAACCTGTACCAACATGATTGTTGTATAGCCCAAAATTAGCTATAGTAAATTTATTGAGTTCTTTTAATTCGCCCGTTGGAACGCGATAGGGCGTTCAACTCGCAGTAAATAGATTAAGGCGGGAGAGTAGATTTAAATTCGAATAAGTTGAATTAAATAACATATATAATAAATTTAAAATACTCGGATTATTTTAGTTTAATTTAGATTTGCCTTGCGCGCAAATCTATTATTTATTATTCAGTAAATTACAAAATAAAATTACCGACAATAATTCCGAAAAAGAAAATATTCGCGTGGCGTACTTAAGTCTTGCTTATTGATAAGTGTCCTCTTGTTTCTTCGTTTCTGACTCCCCTGGTTGAGATGTTCGTACCTTTGGAGTGGGAGAGGCCCAGAGGGTAGTGAGGGTAGCTGCGCGCGCCTCTACAGCTCTCATCTTCGGCTAGCATCCCTTCTCGAGTTGGCAAAAAATGGGACTATGGCTATGCCGTGATGACGTCACGGCGAGTCGACATTCCCGGGCTATGTGCAACCCGCATGGATGCCTCGTTTTTATGACCTAGTCTTGAGTATTCGAGCAATCCCTTTTCTAAGCGAACGTTTTGGAAAATAAGTTACTTAAAGGATTATGGCAATAAAAAGAGTAAAAAAAAAAGGATCTCCGGGTTTTTCCCAGCATTATAAAGAGTATTCCAAAACGTTCGGCATCTTATCCTAAGTGACCATTACAATTAACGTAAGTTTATTTTAACAAAGAGATTTATCTTAGCATGTCTAAACTAACTGAATAGTACTAAAAGTTTTTATAAGTTTTTCCTTGAGAATTTCTGGTAATTATAAATTCGTCTATACCCTAAAATTTATAATAGAAAAATTCCCATACTTGACAATAGAATTTAAAATAGAAAGGTTTACAATATTTTAAAGATTCTTATTTTTTCTTACTGATACTTTTACAAATAAAATACATATATTTTAAATCTTACTGGGTTTTTCCCGCTATCATTCATTGCAGCCATCTTTTTATACGTAATTCTATGTTAATATACAGAGAGCGTTGTGATCAATCCTTTCGGATTCACAACATGATATACCATTTTATTTTTTGTCATCGTTTTCGGAAACACAAAATTCGTAACGTAATTTACCTCGTAACTTATGTATCTAAAAATAATACATGTCAAGTATTTACATAGTAAATGACTTGGTAAGTTTCATACCTCCATGGGGAAGGAGTAAGATGTTACATATGCCGCTCTCTAGTGTAGGAAATTTCATTCGCATAAAATGAGATACCGTAAATACTTCAAGACTTGTACGCCAGCTGGTGGTAAAAATCTCAGTTTAGTGGGAGTGTTTATTACGGGGCATATATGTAATACTCCCTATATAGACAGTTGGTACGGGAAAGAATGTACCTACATTACGGTGCCAACAATATTTATTTTCTCTCTCGTTCGAGACACATTATCTATACTGCGCATGCTTGAGAATTCTCTAAAATACCAGTAGAGGAAAAATAATCTGGAGAATAATTTTGTGGTTATATTTGTTTTTATATATTTATTAATAATTATAATTTGGAAAAATAGTGCTGAGTTCTTCAATTTTAGGTTTTTTAACATGTAAATATTTTATTTTTAATAACCAGTTACTCAAAAATGGTGAACTCATGTTTATGTGATAGAAAGGCATCTCGAGCTGATAATATTTCATTGCACAGGTAAGTTCAAATTATTTCCAATTTTGTAATTAACAACTTTTTTATATTCAGAATAATATTTAAAATTTAACAAATTTAGATTTCCAAAAAATTTGGACGTACGTATAAAATGGCTCAATGCTTGTGGGCTCACTATTAATGATGATGTAAGGAGAACTAGTATATGTTCTAGACATTTTAAAGCTGAAGATATTTGTCAATCTAATTTCTTTGGAACTGTTAAATCTTCAATAAAACGTAATGCAGTCCCTACACTTCATCTTATAAATCCAATTATTATTGATACAAGTAATAAATCACAGCCGAATACACCATTGTCGGAACTATTTAATGAGAATGGAGTCACCAATCAATCATCATATTTTCCTGACAATAATGTACTCGATATTGTGGAAAAAAGTAAAAAAAAATAACATTTATGCAAAAAATTACAAGACAGAGCACAAATAAAATATTTATTTATAATTTATATTACTTTTTAGGTCCTGAAAATTTTGTTGAATTAGACAATTTTGAAATTCAAACGTCAAATAAAAGTAACATTAATTCTGGTAAGTGTATGAAAGACATTTCATTAAAAGTGATTTTATATAAATTATTAAATATTTTAATTTTAGATGGCTCCTGTGAACAATATGATTTAAATCAGAGTATGAAAAATACAATTTTAAATTTTAGTAGTGAAGATGAAAATACTGGTAAGAATAAAGAGTTATATCCTTTAAATAGCTTACTGACAAATTTTCTACTGTTATATATTTGTTTTAAGTTCCAGGCGAAAATAATTCCCCAAGTCAATGTCGAAAACGTAAATTTTTCGAGCCCCGCTATATTAGTGAAATATCACCAACAGATTTTGCGACACCTAAAAGGGCTAAAAGAACCCTTGATTTAATTAAAAAAAGTGATAGAAGAAAAACGGAAAAAATAAAACAGTTACAGAGACAAACTAGGTTGACGTTTTGGACGATTCTGAGCTGATTGGTGTAACGTTCTCGTAAACATTAATTAATAAATTTTTTTTTTTCAAATATTACGGCTTCGTTGGTGATAAAAATTCATCACCAGCGACGTAACGGAAATCGCTAATGATAAGAGTCGCTGTTGCTCGCGGGTAGCCTAAACATCTTGCGTCAGCGTGAGACCCGCAGCTCGACGACGTTCCCTAGGTGTAACCTGAGACGAACAATGGCTGATAATTAAAAGATTGTACCATTTTAAGCAGTCAGAATAGTCAGTCGATCCAGAATCTTTTTAGAGCACGTAGCAGAGCTCCGTGCTCACCTGACTCTGCTGCAGTTATCAATATCATTATTAAATAGAATTAGTTTTAACTCATTGGCTATTCATTTTGACTGGAGACGAGCGCTTATAAGTCGTTCTCTCTTCCTAAAAAATCATATATCCTCTCTGGCCGCAATTGCTGTTCAAGTCGCCGAAATTCTGCCTTGTGAGTGGTCAAAAGGTCAAGCAATTGTCCAATCCAGCAAGGGTTCCAGCAAGTTTGAATCTTATTATCAAAATTATCTGTGACGACACACCTGAGGTCTATAGACTTTCCAACGATGTCAACCTGAATTATTTTTAATTAACGCCCCAAATTTGGGAACGTTACATTAGCAAAAAAAAAAAGATTTTTTAAATCTTTATTTTTTTTTATCATCATAAATACTTTTCTTGCTCTCCTAGCCGAAAGTACGCTCTTCCTGGACGCACTTTACTCCAGGAAGAGCAACTCTTATGGCCTGCTCTCTACGCATGCGCGCTACGCATATATTCTGGCCGGCAGCACAGAACCTTGCTTTCTTTCGTACTTTTGTAGTGCGACCGGCCTATACAGCGAGTTTCGACTGTATATAACAGTCACAATATCGTATGTATGCAACATGTCAGCGCATAAACTAACCAAAAAATGTCAAATAAATAAAAATAATTTCTAACTAGATTATTGTTAATGAACTATTTAATAATAATACTGCACAAATAATTTATATAAAAATTTTAGAAAATAAAGATAAAAGTTTTGTAGATTTTATTTGCTTTCTTTTATATTTTGACAGCTAGTAAGGCGATGTTTATAAAACAATCCATGTACTCTACAAGCTTCTAATAATTTAATTTCAATCTTTCGTAGTCGTCTAATTAAAATCTAATTTTTAATCAACTTAAGAAAATTAATTCTGTAATTAAATCAAGTTTAAATATTTGTAACAAGTTCTGTGCATGTTATCTCTCTTAATCAGAGCGTTTGCAAGCAAACTTTAAAGTAGCTTATTATTTGTTTTTATTTATTAATTTTTACTTTTTTATGATGCCCGCCCCGACCAGTAAAACCTCGGCTTCGCCTCGGCTTTGCAAAAGTCGGGCAGCGCCCCCCTCACCCCCGGCAGAACCTCGGCTTCGCCTCGGTTTTGCAAAACCCCTTCCCTGGGGTTGCGTACTTTCGGCTGGAGAGCAAGAAAAATAGTATACAACCCACGACCAGAATGTTAGATGCCCTGACGTATGTGATATGATAGCCTCGGCTACGCCTCGGCCATCATATCCCATACGCTAGGAAATCTAACTTTCTGGCCTTGGGTCCTAATATACTATTACAAATAATTAGTAGAAATTTATTAAGAGACTAATATTGTCGGACTTGAGGATTCAAAATCGGACTTCTCGGTGAATATTCGGACCCCTGGGTTCAAAGTCGGAGTTAAAGGACTACAGGGCTCTTAGTCGGATCTATTCCGGGTTAGAGGGATCTATATGGTCTCTAAATTTCGATTTGGATCCACACACACACACACACACACACACACACACACACACACACACGCATACACACACATACACAGAAAAAAAGATTTCTTGACTGGAGAATAAAATTCTTGGCTCAAGTAAATTTTCGGGTGCCCGAAGGAAGACCGAAGTTCTTGGCTGAACTTCGAATCTTGGCCGAAGTCTTGGCCGAAGTAAAAACTTTTTTTGAAATTCTATTCTTGGTGGAAGTAATTTTTCTTAATTCAAATTATCATAAATATTTGATACAATGAATTTTTATATCGGATCAAGATTTTTAGATAATTTAGGGAAGCAGCGCCACTTACTTCAGCTAAGAAAAAAATTTTCTCACCTTGAGAAAATTTTTTTCTTGAATATTTGATACCCATTTTAAATTATTTTAGCACGCAATTATACATATTGAATGAAAGAAAATCGTTCAATATTATTTGATCTTCCCATTTGACATGTTCGTCAATAAAAATATTAATGAAGTTTTATTATCGAGTTATTTAATTTTTTGGAGCAAGAGAAAAATTTTCTTAAAACAAGAAAATTTTCTTGACTTAAATACATTGTCTTGGATCAAGAAACGTATTTCTTGAAGCAAGAGAATTAATTTTGTTGGGATAAGTGAAATTTCTTGTGTCAAAAAAAAATTTTTTTTTCGTTCAAGAAAATAATTAACAAGGAAAATATTTTCTTGGTTCAAGTGAACCATTCTTTCTGTGTACAAACATACGGACATCATCGTGGAAACATTCGGGGAAGCTTCTTAGGACCTCAAAACGTGTCAACATCCGTTAAAAACTCGATTTTCGGAAAACGGGGTAAAACCAATAACTTCCCAATTTTTGAAACTTTTTCATTTTTTTAGCGGGAAGTTGAAAATTTTTCTCAATTTTCCTATTCAATAAAACTTTCAAAATATATTTTTTAATTTTCAGAAAAGGGTTCTATTCAGTTGCTCTTAAATTTTTGAGTTTGAAGAACTCAAAATGTATAAAACATTATGTTTTCGAGCTCGGAGAATTGATCATAATTGATGATATACTTTTCGACTGACTCTAAGTGTTGGTAGTATTTTCAATAAAGTTGGTAGCGTGAAAAGATAAAAGGTCAGCAGTCACGAGTATAACACAAATATTGACTAAATATGCTAGAGAGTATCGAAGAAGGAAAGAGGGAGGAAAAGGGGCAGTTTCGATAGTGGCGGAGCGTAGTCATGAAGCGGGTTACGAGTGTTAAGGGTGTAAGATTTTAACATTGGCTGAAAAAATACAAAAGAAAAGGATTATGTGTATGAGTGAGCAAATGTGTTAATCAAAAATAAAAAAAGTTATGTGTTGCTAGGGTGGTATCCCTCAAACTTATCTTAGTTATTCAACTCTATCTAATTAAAAACATATTTTGTCAGCATGCGTAATGAAATTATCTACATAGACCTTTATAATTATGACTGTTACCGATGTTGACAATAATAATCTGTTTAACGTTTGTTTCTTCATAGTTTTGTGTAGTTCCTGACAGTTTTTTTGTTTCATCTAACTTGATACGCTTATGAATTCTCTTTTTTATTTACAAATGAATTGATTTTTCTGGAGCTTAAAGACATAAACAAATGGAGCTATTCTAAGCGTACATTTCACAAATTTCCTATTAATACTAGTAGATTCGTTTTTTATTAAATTAATTAGTATTATTGATAAGTGATCTCTCCCAAGTATTGACATAAAACAGGCGAAACGATTCTGATTTAATAAAAAATTGACAATCAAAAAATAAAGTGTTAATTGATCACTGTATTGAAATACATTAATACTAGATAAATGTTTGTATACCTTCTGTACATATTGTGTATTCAAAGATGAAGCGATTAAAAAGAAGTTGCGAAATAATCAAGTGATTAGTAAGGAGTACTTAGATTCAGATTAATAACTTTGTAAATGAAAATACAGATATAAAAGTGTCATATCGAATTCGTTTTGTATTTGTCATCAGACACTCAACTTTTGGTGTTCTAATTTAGAAAATTCTTGAGATCAAAAAAAGAATTAATTAATTAGAAAAAAAATGTAATATATAAACAAATAAATAAATGAAAATATAGATTTATATATATATATAT